AGAGACAGACAGAGAGACAGACAGAGAGACAGACAGAGAGACAGACAGACAGAGAGAAACAGACAGAGAGAGAGAGATGGACAAGGCCATCTCTGATTGTGCTGTGCTGAGGAAAATGAAGCCAGCAGCATGCCATAGTCAGTGGCAGGGATTGAGGGGGACTGAGGACTCTGTTGAGAGAACTGGGGCTTTGAGCCTTCACCTGGATGACAGAGAGCAGCTGGCCACCAGGAAGTTAGAGAAGAGGGGACATTCTAGGAGGGAAATAAGCTAGTTAAAAAGCCAAAGGCAGAGAGAGGGCAAGCCTAGGTATGTTTGGTGTGGGGTGAAGTTGGAAAATGGAGACCAGGGCTGAATCCTCATGTAAACTTTGAGGGTCTGTCTTTGTGAGAGCAGCGTGTGTACTAGGCACGGTGGGACATTCCTGCATTCCCAGAGCTGAGAGCGGTGGGGGGTGGCGGGGGGTTGGGGGGGACAGGAAGAAATTGAGCTTGAGGCCAGTCTGGGATGTATAGTAAGATCCTGTCAAAAACAAATAAACAAATAAACAAAAAACAGAAGAAGAAGTGGAAGAGAAGATAGAAAGGGAGAGACAGGAAGGGAGGTAAAGAAGGGGGAAGGAGGGATAGAGAAAGGGAGGGAGGGAAGGAAGGAGGGAGGGAAGGAGGGAGGGAGGAGAGAAGAAGAGAGAGAGGAAGGGGAGGGAGAGAACACTCCTAAAAAAGGGAGATGAGTGTTGCACAGCCTACACCATTCCCATGAGTCTTCAGGTAACAACTAGGGAACCTTCCTAAAGGGCTGAGGAGATTCAGTCTATAACCCATTGGTCTAGAGACAGCGGAACACTGTGGGAGTGCCCCGTGACCTTGGAGGCACTCCATGGTGTTTCTGGTCCTTGCATAATTACACTGTCATATCAAAATGGACGTGTCACTGCTGTTTCATTTTCCAAGTTACTCAGAGGAGGGAAGCAAAGAGCCAGCGGAGGAGAATGGTGAGTAAGATGAGGGAAGAGATTTAGAAGGATGGGAACCTCACCAAAAGGACATGGCAGCCTGGGCAAAATGACAAGGCCTTGTTACTACAAATTTAAAAATGTTATGCTGCTATGCCGTTCGTCTATTCCAGAATTAATTATTTAATGCCCGCCTTCTGTTTGAGGGATTCTAACAGAATGAAAAATGGATTAGGAGAAAGAAAAAGACAAAGCAGACAGAAATCCTCCCTTGTGTCCTTACATTTAGAGAGAAGGAGACAGATTATAGGCAAGTAACTAAGTAAATTCATTCTTGTGTTATCTCAGTAACAGGGATAAGGGTGTGTGTGTGTGTGTGTGTGTGTGTGTGTGTGTGTGTGTGTGTGTGTGTGTGTAAGGACGGTGCATGCAGGAAGAAGCCAGAAGACAATCGCAGGTGTGACTCCTCAGGTCCATCCACCTTGTTCTTTGAACAGTGTCTCTCACTGGGACCTGGAGCGTGCCAACTAGGCTGGCTTGAGTGGCCAGCTAGCCCTGAGATCCTCCTACTGCCTCCCCAGTTGGGCTTATAAGCTCTCACACCATGCCTGGCTTTTTGTGGGCACACTGGGGTAGAGTTCTGACCCTCATGCTTGTGCAGCAAACATTTTATTGACTGACCCTTCTTCCCTGTCCCTGCATATCCTTTTATAAAAGGGAGACATGGCCCGTGGAGACAGTGTCACTTACTAATGGGTGATTATAAACATCACTCCCTCCTTGGCGCTGAGTTCCTATTGCATGCAGCTTCAATGGCTGGTTCCATCCGTCCCTGGGACAGTGTGGCAAGGTATATAATATAAGATGTGTGTATGGTTATGTATTTCAAGTATAGCGTAACTAGTGTATTGCAGGAACAATCTGTAAAGTCCTGGTAAGGAGGGGAGTCATCAGTAGCTGGCACAGCCAAGAGGAAAGTTCTAGAACTGAAGGAAGGTGGAGCTCAGGCAACAAGGAGAGTTACAGTTGCCACACAAGCCCTGAACTCCTCTCTGCTGCTACCTGTAGGATCTGTGAGAAAGGACTGGACTCCTTTAGCTTGGAGAACAGGCTGCTGCAAACCAGCACTTTCTGGTAATGATAATGAGGAGGAATCGTTGGCCCATCTGGTGGCAATGAGCTGCTCAGAGGACCGCAGTGTCTGTCAGTATGATACAGACCTGGACCTGGAATCCATTTAAGTCAAGGGTTCTGTTCTCCTTGATGCCAACATCAAGAGGCAAAGTCAGAACTAAGAAATGTATCAATTAGAGTGCCTAAGCTGTGGAATTAATTAAAATACCCAAATGGGTCCCCTGAGGTCACTGAGTATGTGACAGAAAGCATCCATCTTAATCATGGAACTGATAAAGAGCAGGGGTGACAAATA